GAACCCATCTCAGAAAAAATTGTACAGGGATGTGATGCTGGAGAACTATAGGAACTTGGTCTTTTTGGGTAAGAACAGCTACCTCTTTGGAGTCTTGATATATACTGTGAGAGCAAGATTTTAACAGTTGTTCTTTGCCATACAAAAGGAAACTTTTCTTAATCCATTTGTAGCCAAGAGACAGATTACTTCTGCTGCCTGTTTGCAGGAAAAAGGTCGAGGCTTAGTATGCCTGGAAATTAATTTCTTGATTTGTTGTTATCCTTGAGGATGTATCTTCCCCTGTCTATTACCTCAAATCCAAGATATTCTTTTTAATCCTAATGTAGGGTTCATCATGCAGTATTCCCACTGCTTAACCAGTCACCAAGTCAAATGAACTATTTTTCCTTGAGTCCTACTCAGTAATCCATTTTACCATAATACAGAGTATCCTTCCAGTGGTCTTTTGTACTATCCTTGAGGTCTTCCTAGCATGCCTCCTTATTTTCCAAAGAGAGTTTGAACTCATTTTAAATTCTTTTATTAAGTTTTGTGGATACTTTTTGAAAAAAGGTTTAATTTCTCCTTCCTCTGCCACCTAAAAAAAAAAAAACAAAAAGAAAGAAAAAATCCTACTTCTCCCTCCAACCAACCCATTGAGCTCCCCATTATTGAAGAAGAAAAAAAAACTCAGAGAAAATCAGCTAACATAGTGCTCTTCGGGATATAAGATATATCTAGCATCCTTATTCCCCCACTTTTCTAGTAAAGTTGGAGGGAGTATTTCATCTATCTCTTCAATGATGGAAGTCGATATGAGATGACTGCCTAGCACTTTTTCATTTTCAATGTACAGGATTTGCAGCTTCCAGACCAAATGACAGTGACCAGTTGGAAAGAAAGGAAGTGTCTTCCTTGCCAGAGGCAGATATTCCAAGAAGCAGCTGTCCAGGTGACTACATAAAACCAAGCAGATGAGTCATTGCAAACTTGTAATCTGTTGTTCATTTTAGGTCAAAGCTCTTGAAAAACATTGAACAAAGTGGTCTGTCAAAGCTTCTCTGCCCTGTTGAGAGGAGTTGAGAGTTTTAACTTCATTTTTTTACCTCAAGAAGTTAGTTTTTCAATGTATCTCCTTACTGTAATGTACCTCCACTCCCAAAGAAAGTTGTTGCCTCAGTACAGGGCAGTTATATCTCTTCTGTTCATTGAAGATCACCTTAGTTCATCTGCCTCATTTGCATGAATTCATTCTTGTAAAGTAAGCACAGTATTGAAAGTATTAAGTCGTGTGCTCTTTTTCCTTGTGAGTTCTTTTCTGATATTTTCTTGTTTTGTGTCTATGATTATATTGCTTTGCTGCTACTTTTAAAAATAATCCTAACCTAATTCCCCTTTCTTCAGCCTGTCATGTTATGTGTCATCCTGTTTTCTTCTTTATGCTTTGAAATTGTGTTTATAAAGGCACTTTAATATGTTCATGTCACAGGACTTGTATAGCCATAACCTCATCTTTGCACCTACAGATTTTCATTATTTTGCTATTTTTTTTAAAGAAGACTTTTTTTTTTTTAAGGCAGTGGGGTGAAGGAACTTTCGCAGGATCACACAGCTATTACATAGCAATTGTTTGGTCTGAGGTCAGATTGGAAGTCTGGTCCTCCTGATTTCTGGGCCAGTGTTCTCTCCACTGTGCCACCTAGCTGCCCTCTTTTATTTTGCTCTTTTACGAAAAGCTGTTGTGAAAATTTGCTGAGAGTGCTGTGTTTGCTTTCAGTAACATATTGAGGCTGCAGACCTACTACTGGGGCCATTGGGTGAAAGGCTATGAACAGTTTTGTAGCTCTAGCCGAAATTCCTATCTTTTAAGGAAAATGGTAGCAGCAGCAGCTTAATAAGTAGGTATTTTAACATAAGTCCCAAACTTTATCATTTTCGAGTATCTTGCTAATCTGAAGGCTGTTTATTGCTACCTCAAAAATTGTTTTCATTTATGCTTCTTTGATTATCAGAGTTTGAGTAATGTTTCAGGTAATTATTAGTAATTTCTCTTGTCAAAAACACCGTAGGTCTACATCTCACAAATTTCAATCAATTTTTTACAAAGTAGATATGTTAGATTTTTAGAGGAAATTTATAGCAACAGTTGTCATGTTTTCACCCTCATATTTCTTCTTTATTCTGTTGACTTCTTATATCTCTTTCTCTTCCCCACTCTAAACTTAGTTCTGTATTTTCTTTCTGTTCAGTCGTTTCCCTTCCTATTTTCACCTCAGAGGGTAAGGATACATCAAAATCATCTCTTGGGCTTTTTTTCTGAACATTCTTTTCCATTCAAATGTCAGCCAGTGAAAGTAGAGTAAGGGTTCATTCATCCCCCTTGGTAATTTCATCTTATGTCAATTCATTTACATGTTACGTTGGAGTCATTATGCTTTCACATAAGATAAACCAATCTCTACGGGAAGGCTAGTGAGACTGGCCTTCTCAAGTGAGAAGGCAAGAGAATAGCTCCAAAACCTTTGAGCAACTAAGAGCCTTGGCAAAGGGTGAAAAAGGCAGGGTTAATCAGCTCTGTATTCTTCCTTTCAGAGAGCAGAGAATTTGCTGGAGATAAACCTCTTGAATGTAATGGATATGGGAATGCCTTCTGGAGCAAGGAGCATCTTGCTGTGTGTCAGATAATTCGTACTGGAGAAAAACCTTATGAATGTAGTAAATGTGGGAAAGGCTTCAGGAGTAAGTCTGAGCTTACTGTGCATCAGAGAATTCATACTGGAGAGAAGCTTTTTGAATGTAAGGAGTGTGGGAAGGCTTTCCCCTATAACTCATTTCTTACTCAACATCAAAAAATTCACACTAGAGAGAAACCTAAACCTTTTGAATGTAGTGAATGTGGAAAGGCCTTCAGGATTAAGAAACAACTTACAGTGCACCAGAGAGTTCACACTGGAGAGAAACCTTATGAGTGTAGTGAGTGTGGGAAGACCTTCAGGATTAAGACACAACTCACAGTGCACCAGAGAGTTCACACCGGAGAGAAAAATTATGCATGTGCTGCATGTGGGAAGGCCTTCAGGATTAAGACACAACTAATACTGCACCAGAGAGTTCACACTGGAGAGAAACCTTATGAATGTAGCGAATGCGGAAAGGCCTTCAGGATTAAGACAAAACTTACACTGCATCAGAGAGTTCACACTGGAGAGAAACCCCATGAATGTAGGGAATGTGGAAAGGCTTTCAGGAGTAAGGATCGTCTTATAGTGCATCAGAGAATTCATACTGGAGAGAAACCTTATGAATGTGGTGAATGTAAAAAGGCCTTTAGGAGTAAGGAACAAGTTAAAGTACATCAGAGAGTTCATACTGGAGAGATGCTTTATGAATGTAAGCAGTGTGGGAAGGCTTTCCCGTTGAACTCACATCTTATTCAACATCAAAAAATTCATACAGGAGAAAAACCTTATGGATGTAAGGAATGTGGAAAGGCCTTCATGAGAAAGGCACATCTTAATGTGCATGAGCAGATTCATATTGGTAAGTTTCTTTTTGAATGTAAGGAGTGTGGGAAGGGTTTCCCATACAACTCAAGTCTTATTCGACATCAAATAATTCATACTGGAGAGAAACCTTATGAATGCACTGTTTGTGGGAAGGCCTTCAGGACAACAGCAGGTCATACTGAGCATCAGAGAATTCATACTGGAGAGAAACCTTATCAATGTAGTGAATGTGGGAAGGCCTTCAGGGTTAAGACACAACTTAAGCTGCATCAGAGAGTTCACACTGGAGAGAAACCCCACGAATGTAGGGCATGTGGAAAGGCTTTCAGGAGTAAGGATCATCTTATAGTGCATCACAGAATTCATACTGGAGAGAAACCTTATGAATGTGGTGAATGTAAAAAGGCCTTTAGGAGTAAGGAAAGACTTAAAGTACATCAGAGAGTTCATACTGGAGAGGTGCTTTATGAATGTAAGCAGTGTGGGAAGGCTTTCCCGTTGAACTCACATCTTATTCAACATCAAAAAGTTCATATTGGAGAAAAACCTTATGGATGTAGGGAATGTGGAAAGGCCTTCATGAGAAAGGCACATCTTAATGTGCATCAGCAAATTCATATTGGTAAGTTTCTTTTTGAATGTAAGGAGTGTGGGAAGGGTTTCCCATACAACTCAAGTCTTATTCGACATCAAATAATTCATACTGGAGAGAAACCTTATCAATGTACTGTTTGTGGGAAGGCCTTCAGGACAACAGCAGGTCATACTGAGCATCAGAGACTTCATACTGGAGAGAAACCTTACGAATGTAGTAAATGCGGCAAAGCCTTCAGGATTAAGTCTGAGCTTACTGTGCATCAGAGAATTCATACTGGAGAGAAGCTTTATGAATGTAAGGAGTGTGGGAAGGCTTTCCCCTATAACTCATTTCTTATTCAACATCAGAAAATTCATACTAGAGAGAAACCTAAACCTTTTGAATGTAGTGAATGTGGAAAGGCCTTCGGGATTAAGACACAGCTTACAGTGCACCAGAGAGTTCACACAGGAGAGAAACCTTATGAATGCAGTGCGTGTGGGAAGGCCTCCAACAGTAAGTCAGAGCTTACTGCGCATCAGAGAGTTCATACTGGAGAGAAACCTTATGAATGCAGTGAATGTGGAAAGGCCTTCAGGATTAACACACAGCTTACGCTGCATCAGAGAGTTCACACTGGAGCGAAACCCCATGAATGTAGGGAATGTGGAAAGGCTTTCAGTAGTAAGGATTCTCTTATAGTATCTGAGAATTCATACTGGAGAGAAACCTTACGACTGTGGTGAATGTAAAAAGGCCTTTAGGAGTAAGAAACAACTTAGAGTACATCAGAGAGTTCATACTAGAGAGATGCTTAATGAATGTAAGGAGTGTGGGAAGGCTTTCCTGTATAAGTCACAACTTATTCAACATCAAAGAGTTCATAATGGAGAGAAACCTTATGAATGTGGTCAATGTCAGAAGGCTTTCCGGACAAAGGCATCTTTTACTCTGCATCAGAAAATTCATTTTGGAGACATTCCTTATAAATGTAAAGAGTGTGGGAAGGCTTTCCTCTACAACTCAGATCTTACTCGACATCAAAACATTCATACTAGAGAGAAACATTATGAATGTAGTGAATGTGGGAGGGCCTTCAGAATTAAGTCAGAGCTTACTGTGCATCAGAGAATTCATGCTGGAGAGAACCTGTATGAATGTAAGGAGTGTGGGAAGGCTTTCCCCTACAACTCACAGCTTATTCGACATCAAATAATTCATACTGGAGAGAAACCTTATCAATGCACTGTGTGTGGGATTGCCTTCAGGACAACAGCAGGTCATACTAAGCATCAGAGCATTCATACTGGAGAGAAACCTTATCAATGCACTGTTTGTGGGAAGGCCTTCAGGACGACAGCAGGTCATACTAAGCATCAGAGCATTCATACTGGAGAGAAACCTTATGCATGTAGTGAATGTGGAAAGGCCTTTAAGAGTAAAACACAACTTACTGTGCATCAGAAAATTCATAGTGGAGACATTCTTTTTGAATGTAAGGAGTGTGGGAAGGCTTTCCTGTATAAGTCAGAACTTACTCGACATCAAAGAGTTCATACTGGAGAGAAACCTTATGAATGTGATCAATGTCAGAAGGCTTTCCAGAGAAAGGCGTCTCTTACTGTGCATCAGAAAATTCATTCTTGAGACATTCCTTATGAATGTAAAGGGTGTGTGAAGGCTTTCCTCTACAGCTCAGATTTTACTCGACACAAGAAAATTCATGCTGGAGAGAAGCCTAATGAATGTAATGAATATGGGAACATTTTGAGAGTGAACATACACCTTTCTCAACACCAAAAAATTCATTCAGGAGAGAAGCCTTAAATGTGCAATGCATGTAGGAAGTCCTTTATACTGAGGATACTACTTTAGTCCATCAGAGAATTTATAAGATTCCTCATGAATGTAAGGAGTCTGGGAAGTCCATTGTAACTCAGATCTTATTAAACATCAAAAATTGATGCTGCAAAAAAAACCCTATGTATATAGTGAATGTGAGAAGGCTTTCGGAAAGAAGTTACACCTTACTGTGCATCAGAGAATTCAAATTGGAGAAATTCTCTATGAATGTGAGTAGTGTAGGAAGCCCTTCTCTCAGAAGTCAGATGTTACTCAACTTCACATCATACCTTATGAATGTAATGTACACGGAAAGGCCTTCCACTTGAGTGTAGGTCTTACTCAATATCAGAGCATTCATACTAGAGGAACATGTTATGAATGCAGTGAATGTGAGAAGACCTTCAGGCTGAAGACACAACTTGCTCAACATCAAAGACTTAATTCTGGAGGGAAACCTTTTGAATTTGGGAAAGCCTTTAGACGAAGGACCTACTTGATGTCCATCAGAGAATTCATGCTAGAGTGATTCTTCATGAGTATAAGGAGTGTGGGAAGATTCCCCCAGCTGACTAGACTGTGATTCTGAGTCCCTAGATGTAGTTCAGAGAATCTTTACTTAGGCTGCACGGGAGAAGAAGATATCCCTCCCTCTGTAGAGACCTCTAAAGGGGCAAAGATTTAGTGTTATCCTCCCACGGGCCTTGAGGGATGGAGAGGTTATGCTGGCTGTGTCACAGGTTACTGAGTGGACAATGGTATTGGGAGAGCGTTAGTATTATCTTTGATCCCTGGGAACGTGGTGTGCAAGATGCTTGGGGATGACCTCTTGGCTATCAGATGAGCCTGAGCCTAATGAGTAATGAATAATAGTTGACGGTGCTTCAGGAATAAATCATAATCTGATAAATCAAAATGAGCTTTGTTCCTGATTTTGCTGGTACTGCTCCTGCTCATGTTCATTTGGGTAGGCAGTGTGGACCATAAAGACTTGGAATCATCTTAATTAAAACAAAGCATCACAAGGCCCTGTGGCAGATTTTGAAACAATGTGATTTCTGCCCAGTGCTCTGAATGTCAAAGTGAAGAAATTCATTGAAATGCAGGTAAACAGCAGGATTGACTACGACCTTCTTATGGTAGCCAAATGCCTTGTCATCCAGTTGGTGACACACGTGAGAAGATACATAAGATTCCCATTATGGTTAGGGAATATAAACAGGGAGTTTTCAATGAAGAAATCAAAAGCTTTCATTAATAATGAAAAAGTGCTCTAAATCACTAACCATATTAGAGAAATGCAGATGAAAACAACTTTGAGGTAATACCTCACAATACCTCCGATTGGCCAACATGACAGAAAAGGAAAATGACAAATTCTGGAGGGGATATGAAAAAATAGGCACACTATGTGCAATTCAGAACTGGTCCAACCATTCTGGAGAACGATTTGGAACTGTGCTGAAAGCATTATAAAGCTGTAAATATCCTTTGCACAGCAATACCACAGCTAGGTCTGTATTCCACAGAGATGAAAGAAAAACGAAAAGGACCTACATGTACAAAAATATTTATAGGGGGCCTTTTTTGTGGTGGCAAAGGATTGGAAATTGAGGGGACGATCATCAGTTCCTGAATGGTTGAAGAGGTGATTGTATATGATTGTGATGGAATGTTGTGCTCTAAGAAACAAGGGAGATGATTTGGCAAAACCTAGGAAGACCTATGTGAATAGATGCAGAGTGAAGCGAGCACAACCAGGAGCTCCTTTTATAGAGTAACAGCAACATTTTAATGATGATTACATGATCAGCTGTGAATGACTTAATTACTCTGATCAAGAAAATCATCTCAGACCATTCCAGAGGATTCATGATAAAAAAAAAAAAATTGCTGTCTACCTCCAGAGATGCCTCGAGTGCTTGCGTTGCCAGCCGTGATTAGATGCTGGTCGAGTATGAAGAGAGAAAGAAATGTGCAGGCCAGCTTGGAGATTGTAAAGGACAGACTCCGTTTATTAATCTCAGGGTAAGGGTTTATATACCTTTAGCAAAAGCAACAACAAGCAGTTTTCTTATAGGAACATTAACCAGAGGAGTCATCCTGATTGTCTCCTCTCTTTCCTGTTATCTTCAAGGTCCTTCTGTTCTGAAGAGATAGAGTGGAGGGTAAGGGTGGGGAGGTTGGAGAGCCAACATTCCTGACTTACACAGCCATCGGATAGAGGAAAACAACAGGGAAAACCTGGACTGGCCTGAATCCTCTGACCCATCAGAGCTGGCCCTCAACACAGAGAGACCTGACAAACAGTATGAATTGAAGTATATTCTTTTACTTTTTAATTTTCTTCCTTTTTTATGACATGGTAACATGGCTAAAATATGGAAATATGTTTTCTGTGATTTCACATGTATAATTGACATATTCCTTGTCTTCCGAATGACAGAGGGAGAATTTAGAACTCAATTTAAAAAATAATGTTTAAAATAAATAATATTTTTTTTAAATGATGAGGGGAAAGGATTTGAGTGAGAAGTAGAGTCAGAAATAACTTTCTGGGAATTTGAGAAAAAGTAGGGAAGACAATAAATGCAAGAGAGAAAATGTGGCTAACAAAGGAAACAGGCATTTATTAAGGGCTTGCTAGGTACCAGGTCCTGTTCTGTATGGAGTTTGTATCTAAACTGTGCATTTAAAAAAATCACAGAGTCAGAATTATGCTTTAAATAGGCACTCTAAACTGTTCATGAAGTGTATGGGGTAGTAGCTGTAAACATAGAACTGTACCTGGAAAGAGACTAGGGAAATCCTAACTTCACAAGCTTGATAATGAAGCCTTGCTCCCACCTTGTGTCAGACAGCTGATGGAACAGATGTTTGGAAAAAGACACATTTTTCAGGCATGGTGAATATCTTGATTTTTCTTGCTTGCTTATACTTATCTTTTTCAGTGGGGCTGGGGAGGGGCGGTTCAAATTAGGAGGCAGTGTGCGTTAGTGGAAATTGGTAGGAAGAGAGACTGGACCTTTAGCTCCATTGCTATAAGGTATAATCAGATGAACAAACATTCTATACCAGTGCAGGTGAAGACATTCTCTGCAACTTCTTATCTTTTTTTTTTTAATTAATTTATTTTGACATATCAACAATCACTTCCATAAGCTTTTGGGTTTTAAATTTTTTTCCTCCTTTCTCCCCACCTTCCTCCCTAAGATGGCTAGCGATGTGATATAGGTTATACATATACATTCCTACTAAACATATTTTCACATTAGTCATGTTGTAAGAATTAGAACCAATAGAGGAATCACCAGAAAGAGGAAACAAAACACTACAGAAGGAAAAAAAAAGCAAATAATAAGCTTCGATATGCATTCAAATTCCATAGTTCTTTTCTTTGGATGTGGACGGCATTTTCCATAATGAGGCCTTTGGAGATGTCTTAGATCCTTGTATTGCTGAGAAGGGTTTAATCTATCAATATTAGCATGCAACTGATTATGTTATTTCTCTTATTGAGTCAAATCTGCTGAGAGTAAGGTTCAAACAATGCTCATCTCCCTCCCTTTCCCTCTGCTATAATAGGTTTTTGTGCCTTTTCCTGTAATGTGGTTTACCCTTGTCTACCTCATTTTCTTTTCTCTCAGTACATTTTCTTAGATGAGGTTAATCTACTTACTTGGATCCATTTAACCCACTTGATTAGATCTTTATCATCATATCAAAGTCTACTTATACGTACCCACTTTATGTATTCCCCTTAACATGGTGTAATGACAGTGCAGTTTGCAAGGGTTAAAACTCTCATCTTCCCTTGTAGGGATGTAAACAGTTTGCCCTTATTAATGACATGTTGTTTCTTTATGTCCCGTTTACCTTTTTATGTCTCTCTTGAGTCTTGTATTTGAAGATCAGATTTTCTGTTGAGCTGCAACTTCTTATCTTAGAGAGTTGCCTGTGGGACCAGTGTTGTGCCTTAGATCAAAGAGCAGGTGTGTATCAGAGGTTGAACTTTAACCCAGACCTTCCTATCTCTCAGACCCCGTCTCTAGACACTATGTGATGCTGCCTTTGGAGAAAGTGATAGCAATTAAGGGGAAAAAAAAGAACAGAGTATCAGTAACACATTTAAAAATAAAATACATTAAAAAAATATGAGAAGAGGACAGTAAATAATTTTATTATTGCCTTCTTAAATGTAATACTGTAAAAAAAAAGAACTGCATGGAATAAGAGTTTATGGCTTTATCCACCACCCTCTTTTTTGTGTTCTTTATGAATCACAATGTTTGTGCTTGTGGAGTGATGAGTTTATAATTTTTAAAATGAAGAAGGAGGAAGAGGCAGAGAAGAGGAATGCAGCAGCTCTAGTCTGTACAGTAAAGCAATCTGCCTCAGAGAAGGGATGGAACAGAGAGAGGTGCTGTGGAGACTGATCACATACATTTTATTATGCACAGTTCCCAGCCAGGATGTGCAAAGGAATGGGTGAAATATATTCATGTATGAGTGTGTGAATGTGTGTGTGTGTGTGTGTCTTTTGGAGGTGGAGGTAAGACATATTCAGCTATAACCAAAAAATAAAACAAAAGTAAAGACTTACTGCCAGGGAATTGATTATTTCAAAGAACTACTTCTGGAAGTGCATCACCTGTGTGTGTAAGGAAGAAGTTGCTCATACCACTACTTTATTCTTTCTTCTTGCAAGAAGACTACAAAAAGGGGCAAGTAGATGGTGTAGTGGATAGAGCACCAGCCCTGGATTCAGTCAGGAAGACCTGAGTTCAAATGTGGCCTCAGACACTTGACCCTTACTAGCTGTGTGACCCTGGGCAAGTCACTTCACCCCATTGCCTCTCAAAAAGACTACAAAGGAAAATCATTGTGAATAATAGTCATAATCAAAAGTATTTACCTAACATTTTAAATTTTGCTAAGCCCTGCATAAATATTATCTCATTTATTCCTCATAAGAACCCCATGATGTAGGTGGTATTATCTCCATTTTACAGAAGAGGAAGCTGAGGCAGACAGAGGTTAAGTGACTACTCCAAGGTCAGACTTAATGTGTCTGGCCAGATTTGAAATCAGGTCTTCATGACAGCAGGTCCAGAGCTCTGTCCACTGCACCATCAAGCTGGTGTTATCAGTTCATAGATTTAGAGCTGGAAGTGACCTGAGAGGTCATGAACTTCTACCTCCTCATTTTACAGATGAGGAATGAGGGGCTCATGGAGTCCAAGTTCTTGCACAAAGCCACAGTAGTGATGCCCAATGTAGGGTCGAAACTGAGGCTTACACCCTGGGTGTCACTCTGAACCCCTAACTCCTGCCTCTATAATTAGCAGTCAAGTCTTTCCATTTCTACGTAACACTTTTCTTATATGCCCCTTCTCTCTTCTGACAGTGCTACCACCCTGGTCCCTACCCTCATCACCTCATGCCCAGGCTATTGCAACAGCCTTCTGATGGGGGCACCTCGGTGGTGCAGCGGACAGAGCACTAGCCCTAAAGTCAGAAGAACCTGAG